CAGCATTAGATATTTTTATTTAAACATTTTTTTCTGTTTTAATAGTACAAAAGTAGCACCTCAAGAGTGTTTTCATTTACATCTCTCTTGTTACTAGCAAGGGGTAGCAACACCAAGGTAAAAGTTTCTGGCACAGCTTTGCTTTACCACTGAGAGTGTGCTGATGAGAAAAATAGATATGAATTTTTTCTTCTTTTTTTATTTGGAATTTAACATATGTAGAGCCCAGATGTCTAAATCACATTGGAGTTTGCTGTGAGGGACAAACAAAATGCATCCCAAATGGTTTCCTGCCCAGATAATTAGTAAGCTTCAACTTTATCTCTGACGCAGAGGGGCATCCTGTTCCTTTCCCTGAGTATAGTCCTGCCACTGTCCCTGTGGTACTGGGGCTCAAGGGAGTGCAAGGGTGGCAAGGCCAGGGAGCTCTCAGGAGAGGCTCTGCAGCCTGCCCTGGGCAGGAGAGGGTTGTTGCAAGCTGAGTCCCTTTATGTACAACAGACATGTTGCTGGCCTGCAGCCAGCAGCCAGGAACCACATGATGTGATTTTGGGACTGTCTGCTTTTTCTTCCTAAATCATGTCTGCTAAAATCTATTACACATAAATATGGATGTGGTTCTTATTCCAGAGACTAGGAGTTTTGCATGTGGGACAAAAGCTTGAAGAACAAGATGAATTTGAAAAGATTTACAAAAATGGTAAGTAATAATATAGGCAAAGTTGCTCAATTTTTAAAATAAATTAATATTTTGGATTTAGAATTTTGGTTGTCATTTTAATTATTATCAGCTGTTTTTAATTTTTTTTTTTTCACAGCCTGGGCTGACAATGCAAATGCTTGTGCCAAACAATATGCGGGAACTGGTGCCTTGAAGACTGACTTTACCAGGCAAGCCAAGCTTTTAGAATAGCGTTCCACAACAGTGGTTCACAGTCCTGATGCTTTTTAGAATCACACGGGCAGCTTTACAACAGTAACAACAGCAAAACACCTGGGCCTTAATTGAGTCTGTGAAGTCCAGATTGCTGGGGGATGAGGCCCAGGCGCTGGTGGGTGCTTAGCCTCCCTGGGGGATTCTGATGCACAGGGAGGATTGAGAAACACAACTCTGCAGTGCTTCTCAAGCCTTACTCTGCACCCGAATTACCAGTCTCATTCAGTAGATCTGGGGCAGGGCCTGAGATCTGCGGCTCTAAAAAGCACCCAGGTTATGCTAATGCTGCTTTCAAGGACCACTCTGGGGAGTGAGGAGTTAGGACATTCTGAATTGATTACACACGCACTCGAGTCTTTCTGTGCTGTATGGCTTCCCCGGGAGCAAAATGAGATTTTAGTCTCTTTGCCATTTCATACCTCTTAACCTGAGCTATGTGTTTCTCTTCATATTTCTTGTCTTTACAACTGGAACTGAGTGTTTTTCCTCTTTGTACCTACTTTGGTAATATTTTAGAAAGAGAATACATATTTCTTGGACCTGCAAGCAGTTTCTTTTGTGAAATGTTTCTGTATTTTCAGGGATGATTTTTAAAATCTTAGTAACTTATTTCTATAGAATATGCTTATTGGCCATAAAACAATACGAGAATTTAGTATACAAATCTGTAACTTAAAACTTCTTTTAACCAGAACTGGGAAGAGAACTCAGTTGGGACTCATAATGGATGGCTGGAACTCACTAATACGATATTACAAGAACAACTTTTCAGATGGATTTAGACAAGTACGTTTGTATTTGATGCTTTTTTGGTCGTTATGTGATTATACCTTTGCATTGTTCCTCAATAATGTAATCACAGTGAGTTTGAGGAGTTACTAATTTCCTTCTTTCTGTTCTAGGATTCCATAGACTTATTTCTTGGGAACTATTCAGTGGATGAATTAGAATCTCATAGTCCTTTAAGTGTTCCAAGGGATTGGAAATTCCTGGCCGTAAGAAACCTTTATGTTTTTCAAGTTGTCGAAAGCATTAT